ATATGCCAGGCTTGCTCTGTGGATTATTCTAGGGTGCATGCTTATCTCTGGGTCATACTCACTGGTGTTCTTGAAAGGGTTTGCTCTCTTTCAAGAAGAGCCTTCAAACAAGCTAAATTTGGGCTAAAAACAAATGATACCAATGGCAATACTAGTGGGAAAAAAAAACCCTGAAATTCTTAGGAACTCCTTTTAGTAGCAATTTATGGGACACATATTTTCTGTCTCTGTGTATATTTATATCTCCATTACTGTCTCTCTCCTTCTCTTTCTTACAAAGACACACGTATACATACCCCATTCACTCAGTAATTACAATCTATACTTTGTTTTTCACCAATTTAATCAGCCTGAACTATACGTAACATTAAATACAGTACTCTTCCCTCCATGATTAACATCCATTTTAAAATAATAAAGTTTTACACAATTACAGCCAGAACAAATTTGCATCAGGTACCTGGCCCTCATCTCATGCCATTGGAGTTTAATCCTGATACTGTGGCATGGAAATCTCTTCAACTTCTCATGTGTTTGAAGGTTGATGTCCAATGGAACAGCATGGGGAGGAGGAGCCTTTGGGAAGGGGAGTTAATGTTGGCATTTCAAAAGGCTTAAGGAGTAGGTTTGCTCTGTTCTGCCATGCAATGGCACACACTTCCTTGCTGTACAGGACATGGTATATAAGGTACCATCCCAGAAATACAGGTCTTAATCTACCAGCATCTTGATTTAGGACTTCCCAGTTTCCCAAATCATGAGAAATAAACTTCTATTCTTATAAATTGGCCAATCTCATTATTTTGCTATAATAGTACAAAGTGAACCATGACAGGTACTTACATCTCCTCTTCATGTCTGTCATCACTTCCTTTGTTTTGACAGTGAGTTATCCAATCAGTAAGTGGGCTAATAATCTGAACAGACAGTTCTCAAAAGAAGAGATACAATTGGCCCACAAATATTTGACAAAGCATTCAACATTCTTAGCCACCAGAAATGCAAATTAAAACTTCTTTAAGATTCCATCTTTCCCCTGGACAGAATGGCTATAATCAAGAAAAATAAAAATAGCCAGGAGTTGTGGCACATACCTTCAATCCAAGCACTTGGAAGGCGAGGCAGGCAGAACTCTGTGAGAGGCTGGCCTGGGCTACATAGTGAGTTCCTGGTTACCTGGGACTACAGGGAGACCCTATCTAGAAGAGACCAAAAAATTGAAAACTAGAAATAAAATTAAATGCTGGAGAGGATGTGGAAAAGAGGTACCCTTACACATTGCTGGTGGGAATATCAACTGGTGTAGTCACTATGGAAGTCAATGTGAATGTTCCCCCAAAAGTTAAAAATAGCACTGGGGCAGTTGGTCAGTGGTAGGGCACACATGCCTAACATGTGTGAGGCCCTCAGTACATTCAAAAAGTAAATTAAAATAGAACTATCATATGATCCTAATGCTCCATCCCTGGCCATATACCTGAAAGATGCTATGGCAATGTGCCATAGAAGTACTTACACATGCATGTTTATTTCTGTGTGATTCACAACAGCTAAGAAATGGGACCAGCCTATATGTCTATCAGCAGATGAATGGTTAAACAAAATGTGATACATATGCACAAGGGAATTTTATTAAGCTATTAAAAATGAAATCATGATGTTTGTTGGAAAATAGTTATACCGAGAAATCCACTAGACTCAGGGAGAAAGCACGTTTTTCCTTCAAATCCAGACTCTAGATTTAAAATGTGTTCCTGTGTGTATGTTTGTGGAGTATATTTGTCAGTTCCAGAAGTAGGAAAGGGGCTGTGATGCTAGAGGAATGGTAAGGACCTTTTCTTTTTTAAAGACTCATTTTTATGTTTGTGTCTGTGTGTATGCCACATGTATGTGATACCTGAAGAGATCAGAAGAAGGTGTTGGATCCCCTGGAGCTGAAATTACAGGCTATTGTGAGCCTCACATAGTTGCTGGGAACAGAACTCAGGTACTCTGGAAAAGCAGCAAGTGTTCTTAACTGCTGAGGAAATTATCTTGAGAAGTAGGTAGGAAAAAAAAAAAAGAGGGGGATAATGAATACATGTGGCATGAAAACAAAAGGTGGAACTATTCCTGTAGAATAAGGGGGTCAGCAAAGCGTGTGCAGGGGTACGGGGGAGGGTACTGGAAGGAGAGGAAAAGAGCAAACCCTCATGACCTAGGAGGGTAGCTATGGGTTCGCTGTGATGGAACCCATGAATTTATATGCCAAGATAATAAACTAAAAAATAGATTAATTAAACATTTTAGATTAATTAGTTTTTTAAAAATTACACTGGTGAAATGAAATCTTTTAACTCCTGCCCAAGCCTTTTGTCTTTCTAGGATGGTTCCTAAGCTCTTTTCTTTGGGGAGTAATTTTCTTTAGTTCAGGAAAACAGACCACTCAACAAACAAAACCATCTTTTACAGATTATAAAAGCCTCATAAAGTATCTAGATAGGTATTTATGGCTTTTCTTTCCTGATACTTATTCTTAACAGTCCAGAATAAGAGGCTGGGTTTGCAATCATGCCTTTCAATCTTCTACTTAGATTCCTTTGTTCCTGATTCTGTTAAGAAGTATAAACAACAACAAAGGATTGGTGAAGAGATAAAACATGGTTTCACTAGACCGAGGAGGGGCTTCATGCTTAAGAGGGTCACAGACAAACTAAGTTTACTTCAGAACCCTGTGGATATTCACATTGCACAAAAAAAATTAAGATCAGGTTATTTCATTTTAGGAGAAATATCTTCGGGGACTGTCTGGAGTGTTTAGCTAATAGCAATAGTGTTTACTTACTCCAATGATGTGTTACACATTTTCATGGGACATATATGCTATTTTTACTTTTATAAAGAAAATTATATAGCATGTCAAAACTAAGGTATAAGGTCACACCACCAACAAATGCAACCTATTACATTATCACTTCAACCCCAAAGCATGTTCAGAAGCATCAGCATAGTATTCTAGTTTCTCTGAGAAGTTCCAAATATCCACATATCAATTTTATAAGAACCCTACCACACTTCAAGTAAACTGTCAAAGAGTAAGATGAAACCTCTTTCTTACCATTGAAGATGCCATGTGAAACAAATGAGTAGAAATGGATACAGTAGTTGCACATTATCTGATGGTAAAAGATGCTTATAACTATGCCAAATCATATTTTCCTTAGGAAGTCATACTGAACAAAAAAGAAGATAAATCACCTTGAAGATGCAAGTGAGCTGGTAATAATAGCCTCGTTACAGCAGTCATGAAATAGTCATTAAATTATATGCAGCATAAATCTCACAGAGTTTTGTAAATGATCATGGTTCTTGGAGGCTAAATAAAGATAAACTGTAGTAACTAAGGCTCCTTTCTCCTTGCTCCTTGGCATGGCGTTTCCTAATGTTTAAGCTCTAGCTCCTAGCACCATATGGCTCCCAAAGCATCTGAGAGAGAAATAAAAATCTGCAACTCCAATTACGCACTCGTTTCTAACTAGCCCTTGTGTGGAGCACAAAGTAGAGCCTTGATCTGCTCTGGTTCTCCTGGAAACAGGTGGGCTTATAGCTCAAGCCTGGAACTTTTAGCTTGTCCCAATTCTAGAGACTACTGGAAGGGATTTGCTGTGGGACAGAGCCTGCTGTGGTCCCAGTTTGCCAGCTCCACCTCCAAAAATCCACACTCTGCTTTCCTCCTTCGATCTGCAGATTAGCAAAACCCTGAATCAGAGATTCTCATTCACTGTTACTTTTACTCCTTTTTTGGAGATTGGTACTGATCCCCAGTTGATCTTTTTGCTTAACTGCTTTTTCCCTCTGCTATTTAAACTGAATTCTTATTGCTCCAAATTAAATCCATTCTTTCTAGTCCTGTCATTGCTAACTAATGAGAACAATTCCTCTCTTTGCTCTTGGTGGTTACACGTGGGGTATTTACGAATGAGAATCATATCTTTCTTTAGCCTACTTTCTTAACTGCAGATTGCACAGGTGATAAAATGGGTTAATTGTTGCTATAAAAATATTTTCTGTCCTCATAACGAAGTAATTTTTTTCCTCCAAATCATTTTAATTTCTTCAACTTGTACTGTGTTCTTATGATCTTCAGGGACTGTTGGCAAAGTCCTACCCTCTCATAGACACAAGATCTAGTGCAAAATATTAAATATGCAAAATGCACAGTTAACTTAGTCACTGTGAAGTTTCAACTATGCACGTCCACTCTGGTACTCAAACCTTAGTTTTCATCACACATTACATATGTATAGTTATGTTATTATATTATAGTTATAGCTATTATTATTATTTTTGGTCTTTTTGAGAGAGGGTCTCCCTGTAGCCCCAGCTGTCCTGGATTCACTCTGGAGACCAGGCTGGCCTCAAACTCACAGAGATCCACCTGCCTCTACCTCCTGAGTGCTGGGATTAAAGGCGTGCGCCACCACGCCCGGTAATTTTTAATAAATGAATTCTTATTGAATCACAGTCACCTGCACTTAAAAAAAAATATTGTTAAAACCAAGTAGCTTTGACAAAGACTGTAGAATCCCCAAACATTACCAATGTGGTCCTTTAGAGAAAGTTTACCAACCCCTAGTCTAGGTGTTATTAACATTCCTGTTAGCTTTGCTTCTGGCAAGAGCTAAGTTGAACAAGTCTCTTGTTTATACCCAAGCAGTCTGATAAGTGACTCATTTCAAGCCAAAGCACGCAATTAGGAAAGGGAGTCTGGAAAGCAAGCATTTTTTTCTCTATATTCATAGAACAGAAGAAAAGTTTCCCCTTTGTGTTACCAAGGCATGAGTGTGATGGTTCACACAACTGAAGGGAATTTTTTATAAGTATGAACACTTTCTTTTTTTTTTTTTTTAAGTATGAACACTTTCACCATGTCTATGCAGACATGTTCCACAGCATTTATCAAACTCACACCTCAGATCACCAGGAAGACAAATGATTCCAGACCAAGGCTGAGTACTCACTATGTGAAGCTGGAGGAAGTCGCCAAGTCCTGGGGCACTGTCAATGCGTACTAGGATGCCATCCTTTACAGTGGTGCTGAAGCCCACAGCAAGGCGGTCTGAGCGTGTGCTGGGTCTGTCATTGGCAGGCCAGGTGTAGAGGATGAGGCCACCACTTTTCCCAAAGATGTATGTAGCGCCAGCTGTAACAGCAAGGAGAGAGGAGACATCAGGGCACATGTTGTACACTGGCGGCTCTAGCACATTGTTGAGACTGCAGGGAACAGCTGTAGGAAGAGAATGTCCCCCACTGGACAGCATTTAGTGACTGAGAGGGATGATTCCAAAGCTTCAGAAGGTGTTTGTCACACCTAATTAAAAATGCCCACGATGGGAATGAATATCAGAACAGATGTTGCAGAGACATTCTTATCCTTAGCTCCTGATGAGTGACAGTCAAGGGTGACAGGCTGTGTTTATGAACTTTGGTACATTGTGATGATCAACAACAACATTAACCTTCTTTGAAATAGAAACTTTCCCCCATCTCTATCAGAGACTATCATAATATTCTCATCAGTGGAGTCAGGAACCTGTCCAGCCTACCCATGATGCCTGTAGTGAAGAAGTTCAAAGGTATTGTTACTCTTTCAACCTAGGGAAAGCAAGCTGACCTGAGGACAATAAGTTATACAGGTTGAGCAGTCCTTCTACAAAATGCCTGGGACCAGATGCTTTTTGTATTTTGGAAGTTTTATATTTTGAAATTTTACATATATATATACATATATACACATACACACATATATGTATATGTAATGAGATATCCTATGACTAGAATGCGAGTCTAAACACAAATTTCATTTATGCTTCTTATACATCTCTTATGCATAGCTTGAAGGTAACTTTATACAATAATTTTTAGAGTTTCTGTGTTTTGATTGTTGTGGTCTGTCACATGACATCACATGAAGACTTTTCCTAGTGTGGATTTCAGATGTGGGGTTTCTAGATTAGAAATGATCTAGTTGTATAACTAAAAGTATTTACTGACTTTATTATCATGATGCTGTAAGCATGTTGGCAAAAAATATTCCCAGGGTCTTTTGAGAATAAATATCTTTTCCCCTCAGTGTTTATCTGATGGTATTTATCTAGTATTAGCATAACCACTCCTATCTCTTTTTACAAATTAAATTCCATAAAGGAAATGTGGAGACATAGAAAAAGCCTCACGATAATGAATTTTTAACATGACAAATGGTATGATCAATTTATCGAGAAGTTTTACCAATGTTTTTACTATCTACAAGTGTTTTTACTATTATTTGTATGACTCTTGGGGTTACCAAGAATATATTAATTTAAAACTATTTACAAAGCCAATAGGGAGGAAAAAAAAAGAAAACAATTTGTGATGGTCGGACTTGCTTATAAACTTGATGGGATCTGCAATTACCTTTGAGAAGGGAATGCCTGTGTGACACTATCTATTTTGGGTTAATGGACATGGAAAGATCCATCCTGAGTGCGGATGGCACCATTCCACGGGATGGTGTCTTGGACTGAATACAACAGTGAAACGCGGCTGAGCACAACTAATATCCCCAAGCTTCCTGGCTGCTGCTGCAATGTGACTAGTTGCATGGAGTTTCTGCTGCTGTGACTTCCCTTCCTGATGGACTGAATCCTGGAACTATGAGCCAAAACAAACTTTTTCTCCCTTGAGTTGTTTTTGGTCAGTATATATTGTTATAGTACAGACACAAGTAACAAATATATATTGGCATTTAAACAATTTAAGGTCCTTTTTTAAGAAACAAGAATTAAGTTCTAAATTAGGAAAGAACATTTTGATTTGGTAGCCAAAATACACTATGACATTGCAGCCTCTATGGTTTTATGCCTATTACCAGTGACAAGTACTTCTAAATGGTGCATTTCTCAATGTCCAAAGATCATTGGACATTAGATTTTCTTGTGTGAACCCCAGTGAATTTGTTGTGAGCTTTGCAACTAGTTTTTTAGACATTGGACAACCATTCACTTATCTTGAGCATTTACAAAAATCTCAAGTACTTGTCCATATTTACTGTCACAGATAATTTACCTAAAATATTGAAAAATTGTATTTTCAGAAGAAGCAATGAATTATACAGCTTGCTTTGAAATAATAAGCTCATTTAGGCTAGAATTGGAAGTTTATGTCATATGCCATCCTTGTTAAAGCACTAAGCCATCTGAGATATGTGGACTCCTATTTTCCTCTTTGAAAGGTCATCTATATTACTTATAGCACATGCCCTATCATAGCGTTATTTTCCTTTAATGAATTTCTCAGTCCTTGGGGTATGGTTTCAGGAAAGACCTCCAGAATCACTTAGAGAATCTGGGACTATGGTATGCAAAGTCTGTGTTAATGCCATACACAAAATAATGTATGCTCCTTACTATCCACAAACACCCTCAAAGCTGCTTAAAATTAAAGATCTTGGTATAACAATTTATGCTTGATCTCTCTCCGTTTGTGAAGAATTTAAATAAGAGCCTTTCTGTAGATGATCACAAATGTCATCATCACTCTTTTCATTCTTTATTTGGAAAACTGAAGGTTACTCAGTGATTAATACGTAAAATCACCAAAAATGCAAATCAGCCTGTGACATTTCATGCCAATTTATAAAATCTTATCCAATTCTGTCTGCATTCATAGTGAACTTACTAAAAATGTATATTTATATTCTAGCATGAAAAACGTTTTAAAATATTTTTACTGCTTGAGAATTTCATGCAATGTATTTTGATCATATTCAGAGCCCCTCCCCCATCTCCATCCCCACCTTACTATCTGCTTCCTAACGTCATGCCTTCTATCATACTTTTTTAAAGCCTATGGAGTCTAATTTGTATTCCCAAACTTTTCACTGTGGGTTAAGCCCTTGGAGCCTGGTCATCCTACCTAGAATCACATCCTTAAAGAAAATTGACTCTCCCTCTCCCAACAACTATCAACTGCAGAGTTCCTCAGTCATGGATCTATATCACATTAAAGGGAAACCAAATCATTCCCTCCCCCACCAAAGGCTCTGGAATTATTGTGGAAAACAATACAAAAGGAGTTTAACAGTTAAGAGCCAGAAGTGGTGGATGACTAGAAGGGAACAGCATACAGTAAGGCTATAGCACATATGAACTCACAACAATCGTGACAGCGCGCACAAGACCTATGAAAGTAAGCTCAAACCAGGAAAGAATTTTATCAGCACAAAAATAATAAGTTAAAAATGCACAATGGTGCATTGGGCTTTATAGTATACAAAGCCTTTCCTACTTCATTAGGTGGATCTCTGCAATTGCAGGGGACAGCTAATAGTTTCAAATGCGGAAAGAGTCTCAAATATCTGTCTTAATTGAGGGCATCCATTTTCAATTGTCTCCAAGAGCCTCTTTCATCATATACAAATATAATTATAGAACATACTATAAGCATTGGGCAAAGTTTTCACATTTCATTCTCTTCATGTCTCCTCCTAAGACTGAAAAAACATAAACAAAGCCCTTGCCCCAAATCTGGCATGTTTGCAAAATCCTTTCCAGGCCTTCACCCCATGCAGGAAACTTCATTAACTCTCTTTGCTGATTTTTTTTTCTCACTGTTCTGTCCAATAATTCTAAATATTCCACTATAAAGAAGTGGTTAGATGATTCATAAGACAACTTCTAATACATTGTGGTTAGGAAGTCATAATGACTTGACTTAATAAATAAGAAAACCTCAAGACTATCAGGTTAAATATATAAAACAGCTAATTTTACAAAGTTATTTGTATTGCAATTCTAATTCTAAATTTATAGTATCAGGATGTTAGATAATTCTAACTTTATAGATGAAAAGGCATATGGGATAGAAAGTGCTGTTTGGCTTATTCTATTAGGCAGAATGAAGACTGTAAACACCTGTTCCTGGTACTGAATGTACTCATAAGGATGAAAAACTATTCTCAGTATTCCCACAATCTAAGGATGTTATTAGAAGAAATTAATGAATAGCTGTAATTTTCTATACCAACAGTGTCATTTTCTCTTTAGTTTTCATGTTTTTGCTATTTTATAAGTATGATTTTGAGAATAAAAAAACTCTTTTCATTTTAAATATAAGCCATCTAGAGTCCCAAAGGGAACAAAATTATTTTGTTTACATTTTAATATTTTACACATTAATTTGTTATTTCTAAATTATAAATCCATGTTTGGAGAATGTCTCAGAACTCTAAGAATCCTCATCAGTGCCACTAAGGATTTTAACTTTTCAGTACTGTGATACCGCAACACATGTTTTCTCCCCTAAGCCTAGTATTTCTGAGTGACAGGTTTTCACTGGATTCAGTATGTTTGTGCCAAGATCAGGCTACATTTGTGAATAACCAGAACCATGTAAATTTAATTCTTGCTATTAAAAAATTAAAAACAAAAGGTCAACTGAAGCAAAAAATGCAATGGTTGCATTTTGGTCATTTATTTAGCATGGTAGCATTTTGTTGCTTTGCTGAATCTCAACCAATGTAATATTTTAGAAATGAAATCCTTGCATAGTTACCACCAAACAAGATTAATTGGATGTACCTCATCTTCAGAGATGTCAATGAGTCTGACAGATGCGATTTCATTCACAACCCACAGATGATGTGCTTAACTTTCTGTGGCATAATTGACTAGTCATGTGCTGAGATAGAAGGGATGATGATGTTAGAACTCATTCAACCACATGAGGGTTTGAGTTTGGGGATGTGCTTCCAGGGTGTGTGCATACATGCATGAGTGCATGCATGTGTATATGTTAGGAAATATAGTTTGGCCAGAGAAAAGGATCTTTCAGGCTGAAATGTATTCAGAAAGGAGTTCTTGAAGGCAGCTTGATGTCGATGTAAAATATACTGGTTACATGGATGATTAATGATTTCTCAAAGTCAATGGAAGATAAATTTGTTCTAGGACACATATCTTTCCAATTCTTAAAACGTTGGTGGACTTTGCTTGTTTTACTAAAACTTGGTTGCTTATAGGAATTCAACTTTTTCTTATTAAGGACAATTTAGATAATCATGGCTACTATTTGATTTATGAATGTCAAGGTCCTGTTTTATAATGTTCTTTCTATCTCCCAGCCCATATTTGATTGATTACTACTTTTTGGACAATTATC